CAATTCGGGATCTTCTTGGAGACCTTCCCGACTTGATATCAAACCATTTGGCACTCTATCAAGCCATATTGGCGTTTGAGATGTTGTCAGACAATGGAGGGGCAAACAGAATCCGATCTTCATTATCCGAAGCTCAATCGTCGCGAATGGCATCTGAACAGGAGCCTAATCCAAATCCACCATCGGAAGAAAATCCACAGAGTGCCCCAGAGGTATTTCCGAAGGACAACCCGACCGAAGAGCCTAAACCTGATCAGGTAGAAGCTAGAAAATCTTGGTCATCATCGGGAGACAGTGCGCCCCCAGCGACTATCCCAACGACGACAAACGATGCTGCCCCATCCGAAGCGTTCATTCACATTGAACAGGTCGATGGATCAAAGTATTGTCTTTCTTTGTCATAATCTTACCTTATGACTTCAGTCTTATTCTCCTAAGGAATGACTGTGCTTAAGAAAAATTTCGTGGTAGCTATCTACCTTTACGTATAATTAGTCTAAGTAATTAACACCTTTGCTAACTTTAAAATGTGTAAGCTTCGGTCTATCAAGGCGATATTAACGCCTTAGAGTAATTAAACGCTTACATTAAGTCTAAGGTTAGTTAAATTCGAAATAAATAAACGAAATGAGTCTTTTGGTAAAGTTAGGTATGCCTCATGAAAACAGCAATACTCTGAAGGATTGTGAGGCTGAGACATTGCCTATATATAATCCTCTCAGTACTGTTTTCGCCGAAGGGATTTTATTTAGTGTTTCGTTGTCGCTCTATTAGAAACTATGGTATGTTTCGTTGGGGCGAATCCGAGAGACTCATAAAATACTATCTTTAGAAAAAGGAAAGAAAAAAGGATAGGTAACGCTAATAGTCCCTAGAAACCTATATTCGGTTGAGCCATCTCGTTACCGAAGTATTCAGATATAAATAGATTTGGAACTTAACATAGTTATATTAATATAACTAGTCCAAATCATATCTTTGGCATTTTAATTTGGCCTTTTAATGGCCTTATCCAAATATCTGATACGAAAATGGAAATGGTATTTAATTAATAAAAACCGTTAAAACCCATTTTAGGAAACTTGAGTTCCTCGTACTATTAAGAGTACGTTTATAGTTTACGTACTGCTTAAGAGTACGTTTATAACACATAGTCCAATGTGGAGGCCCGGTTATTACAACGTCACATCAAGCACATGAAAAATAAATTTGTTACCTTTAGTGGATGTGACCGCCATAGGAATGAGATAAATTTGTATGTGATCCCAGGGGTACCGAGTGGTAATATTCATTAAAGGATGAAAAGCTTTCTTCATCGTATCGTTGCGACATAACTTGCGGGCATCTTCTGTGATTGGAAGCATCTGATCCCAGTTATGTCCATCGTCGCGCATCTGTTGTACTGTAACTGCTGGGGCCGGATGTCCTTGTTCATCATGTCAACTGTACACGACGGTTTGCTTCCTCGTGCCCTGGATGATTCATCACTGTAGCACACGCACATATCTCAGGAATTTGTCCAGCGATCTGTCGCGTTCGTTTTGTCATCACCGGTTGTGCCCAATCTTCATGATAACGTGTACCAGCGTCTTCACATACAGGTACCTCCAAGCCTAAGTCACCCCAAAATGATGGATTGACTTTGTACCCAGATGGAGGACCAATACGTACCACGATGGTATGCTCCCACGGGTATATACCACAAGCCTGTGAGCCGTGCTTCAAGAATGTGTGAGCCGTACGTGGGATAAGTAGCGGGTCTGCTTGCATCATCGATAGAAGTAGAGGGAACCATGGCGCACGTGTGTTCAAGGGTAAACATATTGTTGCCGACGCCTTGTCCTTCAACACCTTACGCAACACCTTATGCATAAGACGTCAAGGTGGGTTCATCTATGCGTTGTATTTACTCCAGTCAAACTTAAACGCCCGCCATCCTTGTCGTACGACCAAAATTGGCGAATCTGAGCGTTATGACTCGAGGCAAAAGCGTCGACGTCGTTTGGTCCAAAGTTCTTCTGGATCTGGTCAAAGAAAT